CAGTTGTGTAATATCAACGGTTCCTCCTGTTCTGTACAGCCTGCACAGCCCATATTATGGTAATTTACTGCTAAAGCTTCTGATTGGTCACTCACTTTCAATTGTATTTATACAGTTTAAAGTACTTTTTAAAAATGTACCATTTCACAAGCAAAAAATAAAAATTAAACCTGTCTCTCTCTTCGCAGAAGCACCAACAGTCACTATGCAAAATAATCCCGCATCTAGAGGTACCTTACTTAAAAGATGAAATTTCGTAACTATAGAACTATGTAATTACTAAATCGTTAAATATTTAAAGAAAATTAACAATACATATGTTTCTTTTAAAAAATAGATAAAGCGATTCTAAGCTATGTTAAAATGTAGAGACCATTAATCAGTGCTAGGCAAATAGACAGTTTTGGTTTTGGATACCATGTCCAAAATCGATTTGCAGGCAAATTTGCCTGCAAATTTTGATCAAAATTGTTTTTGTTAGAAGAGCTTATATAAATCACAACATAAGCCTAAGTAATATTATAACTGGGAAAACTACTAGTATAGAGCTTTTAACTAATTCTACTTTTAACTATTTTTAATGGCACCTTACCATTATTTTCTTGTTAGAAGGGTAAAATAACCCCTGTAAAAGTCAACTCACAAGATGCTACTGGGTGTGCATTTATCCCTGTCGGATTGAAATTTCTAACTGATAATCGAAAATAAAATTTCGATATCCGACTGAACTGCTTCTAAACAACACATCGATAATTTAATTATATCATATAAACACATGACTTTAACAGGGGTAAATACATGTGATTATTGGACTGTCGTATGCACTGACCGAAGTATCCCCTTTTTCAATATTCCCCTTGCAAAGTACCCGGTGCAAAACACGAGACCTCTATTAATTAATATAGGTTTTTTTTTAAATTTTTAGACTGCTTATTGTAAGTGCAGAATATTTATATACTTGAAATTTTTTTTTTCTTGCGACACTGGCCCGCTGCTGTATAATATACCCGGGTCTTTTGTAAGTTTTTTGTTGGGTATTTTGTATTAGACCCTTTTGGTCAGTCTTTTGGTTAGTGCACTACGGTATATATAATATATATATATGATGTATATATATATACGTATATTATATGATGTATATATATACGTATATTATATGTATTATTTATATAACTACAGTATATATATATAAAGTATATATTATTATATTTTATCAAGTTCTAGGAATATTCTTCAATCTAATAAACTATGAATATCTCCGCAGATTTTAAGTGTATTATGATTAAATTTATACAAGTTTTATACAAGCTATTCTTAATTTCCTATTATTCACCATCATATTACAAGTATCTCCGACTTGTGATTGCTTATGATGAATCGATCAGAATCGAATGATGATTTTAAACCACTCGTTTTAAACCAATTATATCAAATAGTGTAAAAGTCATTCGATTCTAATCAAGATAATATATATATTTATACGTATATGTAATACAATGTTTGTGCAGTACATACCAAAAAGTTTAAAATCAGGTGGTTAAAAAATTAACATTTAAAGCGTTAATATTAAAGTTAAATTGAGAACTATATACTATAGATTACATCTTAAATATCATATTCCGACGACTCATACCTAGATATTTTTATGCAACAAACAATTAAAAGTAAAACAATTTATTAGTTAATAAACTTTATAACTTCTTGATAAAAAGATTCATGATATCTTTAAGTCAATCATTACTTTAAATCAAAGATTCGATTGGGTTACAAATGTGATGTCATATATAATACGTTTAGGAATTATAAAGATCTCTTTGTAAGCCTGCTTATTTCATTATAGAAAAACCATGATTTTGAGTTTTCTAAATTTTGCAGATTTAAAAGTCATCAAATTTCACCTGGCGCATTTACATCTTCACAATACTATTTATTGAAATATCAATCGGTATTGTTTTTTTTTTTTTTTTTTTTTAATTATTATTACTTTTTGTTTCTTTCTTACGTGAAAAATAATTGTTGATTAATTACTGTACAAACTTTACATGTCTGAAAAATTTTCTCTTCTTATTATTTACTTTCAATTACTTCCACACAAGATAAGAAAATCCCTTATTAAATGTAAAAATAAAGTTAATATTGAAAAAATGAAACTTTCCTCTGAACGATTTGATGATGAACATGACGAACAAAAATTGGATTTTGACATAATATTTGATAATCCACACCTCATTCGTTTGTACAATGAATTTGAGAAAAATCAAAGGTTTAATAATTTACAATGAAGATGAATATTTATGAAAGAGCGACTGAATAAACAGGTTAATTTTATATATTTGATTTTTCACGATCTTTTAATTTTTCACGGTCTTTGATTTCTCACATCTTTAATTTAAAAAAATATAAATAGAATCAGGAAATGTCGGTTAATGTCAATAAATATCAGTAAATGTATGGTTAAAAAACTCGGAAAATTGCGTGGAATTTATTGAATTTGTATATAAATATTTTACGCAAAGTTCTGAAACAAAGTGATTGATCGGCTGATTGATTGATCGATTGTTTGTTCGATTGGAATTTGCAAAGTTATGATTATTTAGAGAACATTATTTAGAGAACATTATTTAGAGAACATTATTTAGGAAATGACATGTAAATATATATATATATTTGTGTAAATATGTTGAATATTGAATCATATATTATATTGGATATAACTTATTCATTTTATTGAGTTAACGCTATTCATTAGTTTTATGACAATCTATGTTCTGGGGCAACAATAGTTAAATTATATTTTTTCTTTAAAAAAAAAATAATAATAAAATGTTTAAATACCATTCTGCAATATTGAAATGCTTCTACTGTAAAAATCTTTGGATATTTCCTGCCGAACATATTTTTTGTCACTATATACACATGTCAAATATTTCTTTTTCGCTGGATTATAATATCTAATAACTTCAAATGATTGAATCGAATTATACTGTTCATTGGACAAAAATATACATTCCGTCAAAACTGAAGACCGACGCATTCTAGTAAGCAAAAAAAAAATAAAAAAATTCGTTCTAGCTATTGCTCTTTTTTTTTCAGAATAGCAATAAAGTAAAAATATATGTACTCGAAAAAAATACGTGATATATGAGCGACTAGTCCTGATTTATTTCCTTAGTTTCGAAAAATGGGTCGCTTTTGTATGCATTCCTATTAAAGATGATTCGAGTTACTATAGTAATCTATGGAGTAATTTTAATTCTTATACATATAAAGTAATGGGAGGTATAATGGCGCAGGTGGGTAATGTGACGCATTAAAAATAATTCAAGAAAACAAAATTTTAACAAGTGAATCGAATTTCGTCTACTAAGTAAGGTTATTGGAAATGTCATTTTTTAGATACCTTCAAATTTTGATACGATTTGGTTAGTTTTCGTTAATCAACTTTTACGTTGTTCATCTTGGGCAGAGAATTTAGTTTTTGTATCAAAATGTATAACACAATATTTGATTAATAAAAATTAACCAAATCACATCAAAATTTGAAGATATCTAAAAAATGACATTTCCAATAACTTTACTTTAAGGGTGAAATCCAATTCGCTTAATAAAAAATCGTGTCTTGTATTGTGCTAAAGAAAATTTATGTTCATCATGTATTATAAGTCAAGGAATATTGATATACTGTTATTATATAACGATAATACGTACCCAATTTAAAATATTCAATTTTTCGATGATTTTAAACGATTAATAAAATAACATATATTTTATTATCAAAGTTTTTTTTTTTTTTTATTTAATTAAATTATATTGATAGAAGTACAAGTTTATAAATGATCAACTTTCTTTTGAAAAATTTTATTACCAGTTGTTCTTAACTGCGCCATTATACCTCCCGTTACCTTATGTTTAGTAAACTATATATTGAGTTTTTGAATCTTAAAAATATATTATTATTCATTTTTGAAAAGATTTTCGAACTGTTAATACGATTAATGCATATAAAAAATTTTAACGCGGTTTATGAAATGTCGGCGGTATACTATAATTGTCCCGAAAATATATCCGACCACACTGAAAAAAAATTAACAGAAATACATAATTTCATCTAAATGCACTCTTCAATTTCCGTTAATCTGAAATTAAAAAATAATTTCTTTATTTTTCATAATATAGAACTTTAAAATTAATAAGTATTAATATCAGCCTAAAAACGTAATTCGCGTGTACAGATTTATACAAATCTAATTTCAATCACTTTTGTCTGTGATGATAAAACAATATAAACGGCCGACTTTCGACTTCTTTATTACTGTCAAGAACATAAAGTTTATTAATCAGCAGTTTGGTTACCCTTAAATCTATAGATGGGCAAAATTACAGCTTATGTTTTAATATTGGTCGAAATTAGTTGCAAGCTTCATACCTAACACGTCATGACAACAAAGTACATTCTGAAGAAATGTATCCTAGTTCAAACACCACCCTAGATGTAACAGTAGCAAAGTGAGAGAAGCAAATACCTTTTTAAAATTATGATTTTTCTTCTTTTCTAATATAAGGTTTATATAATATAAGGTTTATAAATTATACCTTACCAATCTGCAAATCTCTTGAAATTCGATCATTCAATTTAAAAAACCTGGCAAGACAATACTTGATTATCGTTATCTGTTTGTTGATAGCAGCACAGGGAATCCTACAACGTACCATTATAATAACAGATATTAAGATGTCGAATATCAAAATGTAAGCATTCTAAAGGAGAAGGTACTTTATATCGTGATTTACGGTAATAGAATTGTGAAAATTAAATAAGTTTTCCAAACTTATGATATCTCTATATTTAAATTTTGACTTTATAAAAAGATTTAGCATTGAACGAGCTAACAATTACAAACGTAAAAATTAATTGTAATTTCAAATTAAAAAAAAAAATTTATTTTATTTAAAAATGCAATAATAACAATTGTAAAAAGATTTTAAACTCATTAATTACATCATTTTTCATTATCTAAAAAAAAAAAAAAATAGATATATAGTATACTTTTTTATCTTCAGAAATAAATTTATCAAACTTATAAAAAAAAAAAAAAAAACTAAATAATATCTAAAAATAATTCATCACCAAACGGTGTTGATTCCGCATCATCACCGGTTCCTAAAGCTGATAAGTTCCAATTCTGCTCAATAGTTGGTACAAAGCTATAATGACTATACCAACCGTTATCCTCATGTTTCATTGACTTCAATACGTTTGGTCCTATGAGGACTGTATAAATATGATTATAATTTGTTAAACTATCTAAATACTTGGATGATTCATCAAACGTTATAACTAATAATGTTTTAGAATTAATTAATAATGATTCAATTAATGGAATAAATGTGTTTTTCAGGTATCTACTGGCATAACTTAAGTCCGTATCATGACCACTATTGACCATATTAGGCCTAATTAAACATAAATGAATAAAATAAAATCATTAGAAGAAAACTTATAGAATTTATAAAAAAAAAAAGGTAATATTAAGTAATATTAAGCAATATTAAGTAATATTAGGCAATATTAAGTAATATTAAGTAATATTAAGTAATATTAAGTAATATTAATTTCTATCCAAGTTCTATTCATCATATTGTTTTTATAATTAAACTTACGAATAAAAAACATATTGCGGAACAGTTCCATCCTCAATATCTTTCTTTAATCTATCCGCATTCACAATATAAATATATCTTGAAGAGTTTGTTCGAATTTGATTCATTGAAATAAATGGATTATGTTTTCGGACATAAAGTTTATCATCAGAATGACTTTCACTGAATCCATTGCCTATTAATAATGAATATAAAATATAAGATGTGAATTAACTGGTAATTTTTGGTAATATTGTTTATAATTGATAGAAAACACTCATCATGATAGTTACCAGGATAATTTTCCATATACGCCTTCCATGAAATCCCTTTTTCTTCCAATAAATCTGGAAGTGAGGCACCTTCTACATCTTGATTAAAATCTGTAAGCTAAAACACATAGACTAAATTAAAAAAAAAAGAATTATTTTGATCTAACAAATGTTTAATTATGTGTGATTCACATACCACACCGCTTTTTGAAGCTCTAATCATTGCTATGTAATTTGGTTGCGAAGGATGCCAGACTCCATGATAATTTGAAAGTAACATTCCTTGATTGGCCTGGTTTAATTTTTTTAAAAGATATTTAAAGATGATTACAGAGATGAACGAAGAGATATAAGAATTACATACGAGATAAAGCAAATAAGGATCTTTCATAGATTCTTCATAATTGGAATTTCCTAGCACAATTGTTATAATCCTTTAAAGATAAAAAAAAGAGTAACGATTAATGATTTTTAAAAGAATTGATTCTGATATATATATATATATATATATATTTTTTTTTTCTTTTTTTTTTTTAATCATTTTCCATACCGATCAAAATGAGTTCCTTTTAATTGAGATGCATTAACAAGGAATGAAATATTAATAATGAATATTAAAAATGTTAAAATTTTGAAATTATTTAAAACCATGATTTATAAATATTAGTTAAAGTGAATTATGAATCCTAGAAAAGAACTTTAACTATATACAATATATTTTTTTTTTTATCATTAAAAGATGATGATTCGATGTCTATTATCGTGGCACATTAAGAAAATAAAGAAAAATCGAATTGGAAAAAAAAGGAGAAATGATCAAATGATTGTAGAAGGCTTAGCAAACAAAAACTCGATAGTCTTATAATTTTGAGGCAGAAAACATTGTTGTGTGACCTATAAATCAAGTAATAACGGATCCTACTAATTAGGAAAAGTTTATTATTTATATGTAAAATTCCTTAACGTCATCGTTAATCGTTAATCGTTATCTGTTATTAATCTCTACTTTTTTTTGAAAAAGAATTTCCTTTTGGTGCAATATTTATAATTTGAGATAGCGACTAATGTTTGTTAATCATTTCAGTCATCGACTAAATCATTAATATCAGGATTATAAACAATGAAAATGTATATTCCATTAATTATTTCTGATGCTGCAAATAAATTATTTTAGTATTACTTATCCAGCTCTATGCACTAACCTAATGTTCCCAAATATTTGGGATTTTTCCTACGTTTGGCATTAATTTAATTCTATCTGCCAATTTCACCGGGATCTGAAAGAGCGTAGGAACACTTGGTGAATAGTCAATAATTATAGTTGTCAAATTATCGACTCAACTAAGTTTCGGTTTTTTGGATACATAATTGCTGAATGATCGTTTAAATAAAATAGTGTGAAACAATAAACCAGCAAGTAAAATCGATATTTTTTTATAAAAAATTTATAAAAAAAGACTAAAAGAGCAAGGTTAAAATTGTTATTTATTAAGGTTAACGCAGTTAAAATTTTTAAAGTTACCCAAAATAATTATTATATATATAGCTATTAGGCCATACCGATACCTATACAAAATTTAATATATAATTGGTTTTCATATCCGCCCACTCGGATTTTTTATTTTAAATTTGACCAAGTACCCGGCAAAAAATCTGAAGTAATTTCAATATATATATATAGGAACGAAGTGTTCTGCTTAGCATAACACAAAGGGAATGCATTTTTTGTGATGTTTGTTCACACAAAATCATTAACTCGATTGATAGTAAAACATGATTCTTTGTTCTTAATCTTTGCTTGCGGCTACCTCACATGGCTTCACTTATAATCGTTATTAATTAACATCTATGCTATTTAAAACTTTACAGTCCGTCCGTATATGTTGAAAGCATTCTGGATAGCTGCCCCTGTGTTTAGTTCATATCTTAACTAACTCAGCACCTGAAAAGTCTGGTTAATTATTACTCATTGCCAATATAATTTTTGAGGGGTTGGAATTCGTTCAGGACCTGCGAAATCTGTGATATAATTTAGCAAATTATTTGATTTACTGCTGATTAATAAAAGTATAGTACGAATTAATTATTTGATTTACTGCTGATTAACAATAAAAGTACGAATTAGTATAAAATTCATCATGTATGCCTGAAAAATACATTTTATATAATCGAAGCAAATCGAAGTAAATCACAGTAATCCACATACTTTTTGCGATTTGCTTCGATCACAGAATTTACATGTCCTTGGATTCAGTAAGTTATATACCCAAAGCCCAAAGCTGGATTTTCTTTGACAGTGCTTAAATGCCAACATTTAACAAACCTATTCAAACCTATTCTGACCTATTCTATTGGTGTTTATATTACCAACTAACCTTCTGTGTCCTTGTGATCAGATTTTAATTTTTTTATTTACGAATTTAATTGTATAAATTATTTCAATCATATTATATTTCAATATTAGTTGACAAGTATAAAGACCAGTTATTAATCAGTGAATTTAATATTCACCATTACAAAAGTTACTAATACTGTATATGCTTATGAAGAATTACAAAAACTAGTTCATGTGAAGCTTCTTTTCACTGGAGATCCTGATAAATTTGAAACTATTGAATTGGTCCTCGAAAAATGCATGCCCATTGATTAAATATATCACTGGAGCCGAAAGAATTAACTTAGAAAATTGTGATAGGCTATCGGATTGGATTTTGAGACTGTGAAAAAAAAAGTTTGATACAAAATTATAAAGTTAATTTAATAAACAATTGCTAACAGGCATAAATGTAAAGCTATGTTCTTGGTAGGAGGATTTAATGAATCAAAAGTACTCGATAAAAAGAGTTAGGGATAAATTCCAAGGACGTGTGCAACCTATTGTTAAAGATGCGGTAGCATACAGATTAAATATGGTCTTGTTGAAAGTCGAGTCTTGAAATCGTACGGAATTGAGGTAAAAACAGATTTGACATTTGTAATGATCCATTTGGACTTCGGTAAGTTATATTCTATTATGAATTCGCAATTAATGTAATAATATTTTAGATCAAGATTTGGAAGTTTGATCTTTTAGCGGTTAAGGGAACAAACGTTTCTGTTAATCGAACCTTTGTTAAATCCGAAAAAAAAAACAATAGTAGATTTATTTAAAGTATACATTACAAGGTCGACCTAAGTACAGTACATTAATAATGATGAAATGCGATTACTTGGTACCCTAAAAATTACTTTACCCAAAAGTCTATCAAAGCTACTGCTAGAAATAAGTTAACAAAAGAAACATATCATACGACTTTTGAATTGGATATTAGAAGATAATTATTCATATTTTTTTGAAATCATTTTTTAAATCAATTTTTGTAATATTCATATTTATTATTTTTTTGAACCGTATTTTAAATTTTAAACCAGTTATAATAAAAGCACATCCGTTACTTCGGAGCAAACAAAAAAGAAATATACTGATGCGTGTATAATACACTCATGTTTTGGTGTTAGGTTGAATCACTGAATATGTTTTATTGCTTAGTCAGTTTTTAAGATGTAGACGTTGGCGTATTTGTGCCGATAGGCTTTGATTTGTTGTTTTGTGGTTTTAACATCCTCGTGAGCAACTACATTTCCTATTTTAATTAAAAAGAAATCACTCGTCAAGAAATTTATTTACCGTATAGGCGCGTAATAGCGCACATGAGCATTATTTCGAAATTTTCATTTTTTTGAAATTCGCATATTTGACTCAAAATAACGCCTATGCGCGTCCCGTAATAACATACATAGTCTGAGTAAAGTTTTTAATATTTGTAACTTTTTTCTTCAAAATTAGGTTAATTATTCGAATTATCGCGCATGTGAGTTCCGAAATAACGCGCAAAGTCTCAAATAACTTGCAGATGTGCGTTATTACGCGCCTATACGGTACGTAAAGTTTCGTTACAATGACGTACTGTATATACGTTACGATCTAGATCTAAAAGCTCCCCCAAATTTTTCTTATTGAACTCAAGCTATATTTATAATTAAAAGAAAAAAATTAAGGCTTGATATTTATTATAAAATTATAAAGATTGCAATTTATTTTTGATTGTTATTAATTATATGCAAATCACGAGAAAGAATGAAGAAAATTAAAAAAAAGAAAACTAAAAAAAAAAAAAATTAAAAAAAAAAACTAAAAAAAAAGAAAAACCAACTATATTTCGATTTTAAGGTTAAAAGAAGTCAGTGTGGTATTCATGAGAAGTATATCTTTTAACGTTTTCTCTCCTTTTGATCCAAAATTATTACGTTGTAGCGTCAAATCTTTTAGCGAAATTTTCTTGCAAAGTGCACGGGTTAATGCTATTCCTCCTTCAAATCCAAAATCATTATTGCTGATATTCGAAGGGGTTAAGATGGTGTTTTTGCGAAGTACATCGGCTAATGCTTTTCCACTTTCTGATCCAAGCTTATTATCACAAAGAACTAGAGAAATCAATGTGGTATTATTACAAAGCGCATCAGCAAATGCTTTTCTTACATCTGATCCAATAATATAACATTGAAGGTACAAACATTTCAGTAAATTGTTCACTGCAAGTGTGTATGCTAATTTTTTTCCTACTTTTGATTCAACACGTCTGTAATGTGAAATTCCACAAGACTTAAAGAAGTTAACGTGGTGTTGTAGCGAAGAAAGTTCCCTAACAACTTTCCTCCTTCGTACATTGGTAAATACCGAAAGAATTTATGACAGTGTTTTTAGAAATGTTTTCAATTCTTTATTTCTAAGTTGAATTGATTTAAGTTCCAAAGAAGTCAATTAGAATTCTCATCGAGGTTCATTACTAATCCATCTATTGCCTTATATCGAAATAATTCATGACTCCTGAGACATAATTCTACAGAAGTACTGTAACTGTAATGTTCTTAAACGTTATTTGATCGCAACTAATTTCTTCAAGATATAACCATTTATGATTTTTGCCTGTTCATAAAAGCATTCTAATTAAAGAACATTTAATTGCATGTTCAAGCTCACTTTCTTCTTCATTTCTATTATGTCCATTATAACGAAGATAAGTAGCAAATCAATCATTAACTCCAAAATAGAAAAATACAGTGACAGCTTTAATATAACTTGTATATTCAAATAATGGCTTCGGTTGGCTTGGGAACGTAATTTCTAACGAAGCTTGCTCTTCAGGGCTTAACATTAAAAGCAATCTTCCTATAATATAAGCCTTTTGTTTACAAGGTGTTTTGGTTCACCCTACAATATTGATATAATTATTCTACACCATTGACGGTTTACAAGTGCGCATGAAAATAAAATTTTTACGATCAAGGTTATTAAAGATCATGTAGTAGATTTCGAGAGGTAGTAGTAGTATCATGTCTGCATGTTGAGATGTAGTTTACGATGAGAGACGCAAAAAAAATTTATTATATCAATCGATCAATGTCATATTTTCATAAAAATTACGAAATCACGTTTCTAAGAGTATGGCAAAAAAATCAATCCCAGTCAGGGACTCGTAAAAATTTTTTGCGTTATACAAAATCTTTATTTGCGTTATTGCAAAAATTTGTATTAATTTGTAATAAGATATTAACTTTATATTGTGATTTTTCGGAAAAAAATCAGAAATTTACTCAAAATTTTGTTCTAA